AGATATAGTGGATATTACTAGTGTGGTTTGTGGGGGGGTGGCAGGGAGGAGTTCAACTGGCATGCTGGCTGTTTTTTTTTACTTTTTTTTTTTTTTACTTTTACTGCTTTTACTACGCTTTTTACTAGTTGATATTTACTATATTTATAACCACATATCCACTGCGCCAGCTGGCCGCTTTATTTTTTAAAATATAAGGGCATACGATCTTAGATATGGTAGTCCCCCACCCCCCCCCCCCCCCCCATATGGGGTGGCCAGGGTTAGGGTTGTGCTTAGGTAATATTCGCGCCCCCCTAAAATCTTAGATTCGCGCGGGGCGCGAACGTATGCCACCCCGAGACCTAAGTGTAGCCGAGCTGCTGACTCAGCCGATGGAAATAGGGGGGAGGCACGGGCACGTACGCAATGTCAACAATAGTTTGGGCGAAAGTTTACTGAAGAAGAAGGTGCCAATTGAATATCTACTGTTCATTTTCTTCCCTTGGGAAGATGCACGCAGACTAAGTAGGCTTGGCGTCAAGTTGGCGCCGGTTGTGGTCTGCTCTGTGTATGTCATGGGCGAGACCTGTCAATACTAGCTCCGAGACCACGATATCGGGTTTGAAATTTGATATGCTGGCGGCGGGATGATGCAATTTGCTCGGCAGAGTAGTGTTTTTATGTTTGCCTTTTGAGGCTACTCGGGGATGTTTTGGCTACTTGCGATGATACTGGAGGTAGACTGGGACATCACAGGATCCCTAACAAGGGCCTTCGTGCTCGCAGCCAGGACATATTGCCCTACGTACCGGCAGTTTGTCTTGTAGACGCACATAATTCTCAGTGCCACACTGGCAACAAATCCACCTTTCATAGTCGGCCGGTCCACCTGGGGTATTTCTCTCGCTACCCGGGGGTTTCCTCCGGTCACCTGCAGGCTTTTTCTTTCTCCTGCCGAAAAGTCGACTCAGGAGACGCATCTTGTACCGAACATTAAGCCTTAATTGCTTTTTTTTTCTGCAAGGCTTTCGCTGCCTTCCACTAGGAAGCTAACGAAATCCGCGGACGAGTAGCCGTTTTAAGAGTAAAATACCAGGAGTGGGGGAGTGATAGATGACCCAGAAGCATCTATGATACTCGAGCATTGGGGGTGGAACTTGTCGCATTTATATAGCCATAGCTAAGAGAGCTCTCGTGCCCTTCTAGCAATCTCTGGTTAGCACTTAGTCGGAAACGGTGACAGGCCTCTAGTGCGCTGAGACGGACAAAGCCTTTTATCACTTAGGGACACGCAGGGGGGGTCAAATTCTCAAGGATTCCGGCAGTAAAACAGCTGAATTGTCCTAGTAAGAGCTGTTTCGCTGCAGCAGTGCAGAAACATGCGCTGTAGACCAAAGGAAAAGAAGGTATCTTCAAGGGGAGATATAGTGAAGGATATAGTGGTGTAAATATATTACGAGAGCAACCTGGTGGACAAGTCTACCTGGTCCGATCCGCGACCGCTATGTTAAGGCTACCTTAGATCATCGACTCGACAACCTCTCAATGTTGGCCCATTTCTGCATGCGCCAGGTGGCCGCACATTATAGCCAAATCGCAACCAAAGCAAGGGGTCGGAGGTAGGAACATGTACAGCAGTCATCGATTTAGAGAAGCTTTCAGCAAATCCCTTCAGACGTTGCCCTTGTTAATCACCTCAATCAAGTCACATCTGCGACCTGATATCCTTGGGTGTAAAAGTGGGCCAGCGTTGGCTTGTATAGGGTCCTAGGTTTGTCAGCAAAAGTCTGGTCATGTGCTTTCGTGATGGGCTGGACCTCACTCGTGTCGCGCCCGTCTCCGAATCCGTGGCCCTGAACCCCTCCATGCGCTCGCGAACGGGGCCGCGAGTCCATACGAGCCTGTGACGCAATGTGACCTTTCTGTTACAAATTTGCCAGCTTCTTCTTGGTAACCCATATCTTTTTTTCTTTGCATCATTTTCGCTCGCCCGCTCCCTCTGTTCTTTTGGCCTGGAGAAAATCATGGGCCCTCGAAAGCGATCCACGCCGGGTAGTGCCGGCAGGCGGAGCTCGAGGCTGGCAGCTGGAACACCCCGGGAGGGCCCGACAACGGGCGCGAGCATTTATCGCGAGATGATCCAGGAAGCCAGGGCCGAAAATGCACCCGAAGAAGGGACATCGTCTCCGGAACGGCCACGGAAGAGGAAGCGGCCTGGAGACAAAGCTGCGCCTGTGGAGGTTCCCCAGGCCGAGCTCGCCCCGGCGACCGACGCAGGGGAGGCGGAGGACGATGAAGACGAGGATGACGAGGTCGAATTTGAGGATGTGGTCATTCCTATGCCCACCATCCAGACGATCACGAGAGACTCTGATGACGAAGACGACGAAGAAGAAGAGGTCCAGTTTGAAGACGTCGACCTTGGGAGCCTCGCAGTTCCGGATACAAACGATAGCCCGAGCAGAGAGATAACTCTAAACCTGTCGGCCCAGAAAGCCGCCATGACCACTCCTCGTCGTGCTGTAGAGCGACGAAAGGCGATTACCAAATCCGAGAAGGAGCGCCGTTTCGAGGTACATAAGATGCACCTCCTCTGCCTCATATCGCACGTCGAGCGCAGAAACCACTGGTGCAATGACACCGAGGTCCAAGATGCGCTGGAGCCCCTATTGACCGGCAAGATGGTCAAGCTCCTGAATCCACGGTCAAATCTTACCCAGTTCGGTCAGACTGAGTCTCTCAAGAACGGCCTCCAGGAGGCCAGAGCCATGTTCCGAGGCAAGTTTAAGATCACAGAGCGAGGTATGAAGAGGGCGCTGTGGGCGGAAGATGAGGCCCAGTTGAAAGCGGTAGGCGGACTCCATCGCGGTCGGCCGGCCAGGCCTCTGCTAACGCGCTGTAGTACAACCTGCCGGAGGACATCGATTCCACATTAGAGAAGGCCCATTTTATCGAGGCCGCAAAGAATCTCGAAGGCTCCAGAGATGTGGGCGTCCAGCTGTTCTGTGCTCTCCTTCGTTGTGCTGGAGTCGACGCCAGGCTCGTCTGCTCCCTGCAGCCACTTTCATTTGCGCCGAACGCCCCGACGATGCCGAAGCAGCGTGGTACTCAGTCATCGCCGGCCAAAATGTCAAAAGCAGAGGTGTATGCCGCTGCCATGGCAAAATACGAGGCCAAACGGCCAGAAGCACCTGATCTGGCTTCCTCTTCATCCCCTCGCCGGCGCCTCGGACACCTCCATGCCGCGGGTTACAATGTTCCTAGCATTTCGCAGCCCACGGTTGTGACACCGCCGCCCCCAGCCACAAAGAAGATTCGAGGAGAGTCGCCGTTTCCTATCTATTGGATCGAGGTTCTGGACGTGGCACATCAAAAATGGCAGCCGGCCGACCCGCTGGTGAAGAACACGCAGTTCAACACGGATGTGTATGAGCCGCCAGCGTCAGACCGAGAAAATTGCATGAGCTATGTAATTGCGTTCGAGCCCGATGGCACCGCTAAGGACGTCACACGGCGGTATGCCAAGGCATACAACTCCAAGACGCGGAAGATGCGCATTGACGGGGCATTTGCCAACACTATTATGTCCGACACCAACGACATGACGGGCGAGAAGTGGTTGCGCAAGGTGATGCGCAGGTATAGAAAGCCTAGCCCAACCGATGTGGATCAGATCGAGGATACTGCGCTCGGGGCAGCAGAGATGCGCGAGCCGATGCCGCGGAATGTGGCCGACTTCAAAGATCACCCTATATATGCACTAGAACGGCACCTGCGTCGCCATGAGGTTCTGGTTCCGGGGGCAGAACGATGCGGCACGGTCGGTGCGGGGAGTAAGGGACCGCTCGAGAATGTCTATCGGCGGCGCGATGTGCGCATAGCCAGATCAAGGGACAAATGGTACCGGATGGGCCGAGAGGTTAAGCCTGGCGAGGAACCAGTCAAGATGCTCCCGAAACGGGCGAGGAGGAAGTCTCGGTTCGGCGACGACTACGACGAGGAAGATGATGACCCAGACAAGGTGGGTCTATTCGGCGATGAGATCGCCGGCACCCCGATCTACATGTTCGAACAGACCGAGCTCTACCATCCGCCGCCAGTCGTGGATGGCAAGGTGCCGAAGAACAAGTTTGGAAATCTGGATGTCTACGTCCCAAGCATGATCCCGCCAGGCGGGGTACACATTGTGCACGATAGAGCGCGGGAAGCTGCCTTCATCTTGGGTATCGACTACGCCCCCGCCCTGACCGGTTTCCAGTTCAAGGGACGTCAAGGAACCGCTGTCTTGACTGGTGTGATAATACCGCAGGAGTGCGAGGACGGCGTCCGAGCGGCCTTGCGCGGTCTTGCACACCTGGACGCCGAGCGAGCGGAGGAACTGAGAAGCCGCCAAGCGCTCAGGATGTGGAGTAGGCTGTTGAAGGCGCTCAGGATACGGGAGAGGATATTCGCCAATGTAGACCCAGACGAGGAAGCAGAAGCAGAAGAAAGAGGTCAGGGGTTAGATAAGGGGAAGGGCGTGGCGGATGATGAGAACATTGAAATGGAGGACGCCCCGAGTGACGTGTCAGAGGAGATATACATGGTGGAGGACGACGAAGGAGGAGGCTTCCTTGTGGAATGAGAAGTCAATATTGGCGACCTCTTCACCCTTTCCCTAACAGGAGCGGAGGAAAGCGATAGCGCGAAGCAAATCCTGTTGAATCTCATGCCAACTTTCTTTCAGGATATGACATGTCAACGCCACATCTGAGCAGCGAATAAGCTGA